GGGTGGGGGGGGGGCATGGTCGATGTGACTCCCCATCCTTATACGGTCACATGCAGCCCTGGCACGGACACAGAAAGCCCAGTCGGGGAAAACATGCTCATTTAGAGCTTACATAAACACACCGGCCCACAGCCCGGCTCCCTCCCTCCTTCCAGCCCGGGCGAGGAAGAGGAAGGGAAGGAAAAGGAGAAGAACGCTGTGGAATTTGAAAGGGAGTGCGTTGATAAATTCCTGAGCGTTTAGTGCACGGAGAGGGACTTTGCACCTCCCGTAACGTCAGGAAATGCAGCGCTGGCGGTTTAGCAGCGATTCTCCCTGCACGCTGAGGATTAGATGGGTGGGTGCTGGGAAATATTTGGGAAAGTGAATTTAAGGAAATTAGACTCATAGTAACCTGGACACATACAGTACTCGCACCCCAAACCTGTTCTTACTTCTACCTACACAGTACAATGTGATATAATCTAAACTGCAATTATTGAAAAATAATCTATAATTATCCCTTATTTCATGCATTATTTTTCATAATTGTCTGCGTCATAGTGGATTATTGCGCTTACATGATGGCCACTTGATGGAAATCAAAATGTATACTAACTGGAAATTTTGGGTAGCGTTATATTGATCTATGTTGGAATAAACGGTACTTTATCACTCAGAATTGATGAATCCTAACCGCTAATATCAGTTCAGTATCTGACAATAATGCACTTCCACTGGCCAATCAGAAACAAGCATTTTCAAAGTTAAGTAAAGCACTTTCTTACAAATGCGTTCAGTTGAGAAGATGAACATGTCTTGTGTTTTTGACCCAGGGGACAACTATGACGTATGCGCCATCTGCTTGGACGAGTATGAAGAAGGTGACAAACTCCGAGTCCTGCCATGTTCTCACGGTGAGTCTGAACACTTCTGCACCGTACGTCACTGAGCATAGCATAGCATCAACACGCGCATATGTTTGTACTGAAGGCATAAATCTTCAGGTCGCTAGTACTGGTAACTGAAGTTCACTTAAACTGGAGCGGACGGTTTGTTGGGGAATGTTTTCAGCCGCAGATTTGGTTCTTCCGTAGGTGTTAATGGCAGCAGGATGTCTGGGATCCACTCAGAATGAACTACAGTGCCCGTATTCATTGTAATGAAGGAACTCGCCACCCATTGTTAATTAATGTGTTTTTAATCATTCTGGACCACAGTGGAGCTCTATGGCACTGTACACAGTCAGTGCTTGTTGTAGGATTAGCTAATCGCTGGTTTTGATCTTTTCTTGGCATTTGTTGACGATAATAACATTTTCAGGGCTCATGTTTTTTAAAGCGGGTTGTTAAGTTGCTGTTTAATAACCTTTTTCCGCTGACTGCGTCTTTGTCGCCCTCAGCCTACCACAGTAAGTGCGTGGACCCCTGGCTGACCAAAACCAAGAAGACGTGTCCGGTGTGCAAGCAGAAAGTGGTCCCCTCGCAGAGCGACTCCGACTCCGACTCCGAGGAGGGGGAGAGCGGCCCCGACGAGAACGAGGAGGTGTCTGAGAGCACCCCGCTGCTGCGCTCTCTGGCCTCCACCAGCGCCCACTCCTTCGGCACCATGTCGGGAGCGTCGCGCTCGGAGCAAGACCAGGAGTCCTCCGAGTACGAGGATGACGAGCTGGATAGCAGCGACAGCGAGGAAG